TGGAAAAAGACAGGAAGAAAATGCAGTAAACCATTTTTGCTCTTTTAATGGAGGGATTTGGGGTAATTTATATTTTTTCATACTTTTCCATAGTTTTCAAAGTGCTATAATTTGAAAGTAATACTTTATTGGAAATTTAGTATTTTTTAATAAAAAATGTAAGAAGTGCTTTGGTGAGTTTTTGAAAAAATGTTTTTTTTCTTAAGTATCACAATGCTCACTGTAGACAAATTGGAAAAAGTAGAAAAATGCATTAAAGCCTCCAGCAATTCAGATGAATTAATAGAATGGAGGGAAATACAGTTATTTTTGAAAATATAAAGGTATTTCTTTTGACTATAAAATACCACTGAAAAATTTAGGTGAACAAAATTGAGAAATATATTGAGAAAAATCATTCCTAGTCCCCAACGTTCAATCCATCACCACTGTATTTACCTACAGTGTTTTTGTTTTGTTTTGTTTTTTGTTTTTGCTGTGCAGGTACATACTACATACACACACACGTCTAATTTTCAATTGACTCAGCTTCCGATCCTTATAAAACTCTAGTTTACACTGCTCCTGGCTGAGTTCTTTCTTAGCCACCAACTGTCTTGTTTTCTGTTTGTTTGTTTGTTTGTTTGTTTTTAGGCGAGGCAACCCTTGGTTGACCTCACAGATTGCAAGGACCTTGTCGACTTACATTCCCTTATTTTATTTTTTACGCCTGCAGCACCTGGTCTTCCTAGGTGGTCTCCCATCCAAGTACTAATCAGGCCCAACCCTGCTTAGATTCCGAGATCAGACAGGATCAGGCTTGTTTAGGTGGCATAGCCATAATTAGCCATCAGTTGTCTTAAAATTGGCTTAAGGCATAATGATTATGAAGGGATGATTGCTAGGTGTCTCAGGCCTACACAGTTTTTCTTCTGCAGTTAAAGTCTGACTCTGATCCTGAATTCTAAATAATGGGGAGAAAAGTGGAGATGGGCATTGCAGCAATTAATAAACTTGCTATTGATGACTGTGGACCACGACCTGAATGTCTAGTTTGTGTTTTATTTTTCATTATAGAAGGAACTGTCATAGGAAGAAATGAACAAGCAGGATGTGAAAGCATTATACAAGAACATAGGAGAGCTGCTGTTTGATAGAAGGAATAGATGCAAAGATTCCCCCCACTTTTTTTCCTTACAGCAAATTATTATGGTTTGATTGATAGTGTACCTAATTGATGTGGATTTTATAATTTAAGTTATGTCTACTGTCCTTAATAGGGCTTTTGGAAGCAAAAAACACAAGTAGAATAGTCTCATTTAGCAGGGCCAGTAAGAATAAGTCTAAGGAGAAATGTGTTTGAATTCTTTGACTTTTGTTCTGTTGACTTACATGGGTGATACAGATGGATATTTAAAACTTGCTATATAAAATGAAGGATTTTATAGATGCTTTAAAGATTTCTGGTGCATTCATAAAACCATGTGGCGAGTAAAGGTGAATTGGATGGAGGAAATTTGTCTTTCTAGAAATTTTCATTACAGTATGATTGAGGAGGAAGGTTAAATGCATGGTAAAACTGTGCTTTGATTTGAGCCATTAATAGCCACTCAGTACATACTTAAAAAATTGTACAGCCATTTGGAGAGAGAAAAATCCTCAGATTTTAACTTATATCAGTTTTATAGAATTTCTATGAATAGTCCACTCAAATGATCTTTATATTTGCAATTTAGATGGCCACACTGAAGAGTCTTTAAAAATGTGAAGGAAAGGAAACCAATTTTCTGAATGATTTAAATGAATTAGAATTTAGTATATATGTAGCACCAACAAAATTTCTTAAAGTATACATTAATATATATCACACACACACGCATGTGTACGCACACACACACATGCACACAACCTTCCTAGACAAAATTTGAGCCATGGGAAACAAATAAGATCCATGGTGGTGTTGGACAGAGTACATGCTGATTTGAAATCAGTCTTACTTTTCATTAGATCGTTTCTCTTATACCAATGTTTTAGTATTTAGCTCTTGACCAATGTTTTAGTGTTTCTTTGACCTGGGGCACTTTGAAGGCTAAAGGACGAATGTTGGTGTTTCATAGAGTTTTTAAATTAAAACTAAGCTCGATGTGCCATTCTGCCCCCACCCTTAAAACCAGTGCAGCTGTAGATGCCATTCATTAGAAATGCAGGTGAGTATTCATAAAAGCACAAGTCAAATAATTCTCAACATCTTGTTTCTACACTAAATGATGTGTGCCAATTTTATGAGCAATATAATAAAAATCCAATACTTACTTACAATAGGATAACATGTCCTGATAAACCTATTATAAGTGGAAAATATGGTAAGTCAAAAATGCATTTAATACGCCTAACCTACCGAACATCATGGCTTAGCCTAGCCTATCTTAAACGTGCTCAGAACACTTACGTTTACCAAAAGTTGGGCAAAATCATTTTGCTACTGTTGCCCAGTGTAACAAGAGAGTATTGTACTATATTTCAAAATTCAAAATTCGAAGTACAGTTCTCCTGAATGCGTATTGCTTTCTCACCACTAAAGTCAATCAACAATAAATCATACCATCACCCCAGTCAGAGACTGGCTGTATAAGGAATGCCCTATGGTTGCCCTTGGAATCTGCTCTTTGGATCATGAAATATCAATAGCACTGGATTGATGCAAAGCTTGTATATTGAACTCAATGACCACAGTTTATTTTTCTAATGTGTGAAAGCTGTCTATGTGTGTAACACAGTGGACATGTAATAACACAACTCAGTGTGCCTTCTTTTATGTCCCTGATGAGTCAGCACCACTTAGCAAGGATGCTGGTGATTCAAGCAAGGTATGGGAGGTGGACCAGATGACTTTTCAGGTCTCTTCTCACCCTAAGACTTTCCAACTTGAATTCTAGAGAAGAGCCACCTACATCTTGACACTTAATTGTGAGACATTTTCACACAAGAAAATTCGTCCCCAGAACATCATAAAGAAATCACAACTGAGAATGCAATAAAAAAAAATTTAAAACCCAATTCATTGGAAAGACATTTTCCCCTAATTAAAACATTAATGCTTATCTGAATGCTTCATATTTATTTAACATAGTCCCTGAGCTGGTGGTTATTGCTAGTCAAAGGTAAAATGGGAGAAGTTTCATTGGCTAGAGCAGTGAGTGGTTCTCAAACTTTAGGGTACAGCAGAGTCATAGATAGCTGGGCCCAACCTCCAGGGTTTCTGAATCCCCAATAAGTATAGGCTAAGGCACACGAACTTGGATTTCTAACATGTCTATCGTTGAGAACCACTTGGGATTTGGGAGAAAATCAGAGACCTTCCCAGGTACCTGATTTGAGTGATGCTTTTAATATGGTTCCCCTAGCTTCTCGTGTACTTTCTGGCCTTCATTAGTAAAAGTGCCAGGCTGTATGCTTGTATTGTAATGGGGATGAGGGTGTTGACTTGCCTGTTTTTACTCTTCAGAGGGAATCCACTCCCCTTTCTCTCTCTAAAGAAAGCCCAGGAAATAAAAGGCAAGTGGTAGAAAAGAAACTAAACAGAAAAGGAAAGGAGAGAACTCCCCCTCAGGAAAAAAAAATCACACAAACAAATCACACATAGTTTGAAAAGCTGGAACCCAAAGAACTATAACTTTAGTCCCAAGCCACAAGAAACTACATAGTGATGAGGTAGGGGCATAGGTAAGGAATCTCTTGGAAACGAGGAAAGTCACACAAATTCCCTACAAAAGACTTCAGTGTTTTCAGTCCAGGTTTTGAGAAGCTATTTGGAATTTTCAGCCTCTAGTTTGCCCACCCAACATGATAAGAATGGTTTTGTTAACTCTACTGCATTTTGATCAGCTTCTAGCTTTGAAGGAGGCATCATGTTTTCTTTTCTGCTCCATGTTCACTTGGAGGCAATTTCTTATTTGATGTGGTCCTTATACTTTGCTTTGGTATTTATTACATTTCCTACTTAAAAAGTTCATATCATGAGGTGTTTATTTTTATACCAGGCATAGATTCTTTAAGAATGATTAATGTAACAGATACACCATTAGCTCCTTGTCTTCATTGAACTTCCTGAGGAAAGCCTCAGGAAAAACTAAAGAGGCTAAAATCTTCAACACTTAAGCTGTGGGTATGTGGTAGCCAAAATGTAAATCTGAAATAACCTGGTATTTTTATATAATTTTTCAGTTATTTTTCCTTGTTGTCTTACAAATACACCAAATATGTGGTTGAGTCTGTTATGCATTTCATATCTCCCCCCTTTCTCTCTCAAGGGGCACTGGAAAAAATCTTGCGATGTTAGTGTATGAATACTTTAGGAACTCAAGGTCAATTTCGATACTCCAATTTGTACCAATCTCACATGGAACACCTGAGAACTTATTTTCAGAAAACTTATATGCTTGCTTCTTGGGGTATTTCATTATGTTTCTTTGCCTCAAGCATTTCCCATGCAGTTTTCTTGCATGTCATATAGATGTAGGAAGGAGAAAAAATATTGTGTCCAAGTAAAATAACACCTTTTAAAAATACTTGTGTCAGGTTACAATTAGGAGGCATTATTAACATTGGTTTAGTTTCTTACAGAATAAAGTTCTGGGAAACCTCATGATTTAGACTTCAAGTACTCATATTTATCTAGTTCTTTATTTACCTTCTTGATCGAATGAGAAAGAGAAGAGTGTGTACACGCATGTGTGTGTATGTGTGTTCTGTATTGACTCCTGATGTTATTGGATTAAATTTTCATTTTTCTATCTCTTTGACATATACACATATGTAAGTTACTTTGTGACATAGATTTCTTTTCACTGGCAATTATCAGATGCCAAATTCCCCCAAAGAAATTTACCATATATACAAGCATGTATTCTTATTTAATTTTGTGATTATTTTTGTTGTTGTCGTTTTCAGATTTACCTGAAAAGCACTGTTATTTAATTACTGAAACTTTCTTTTTCCTTCCCTTTTTGTTTTCTTTTTAGAATTCTTCAAAGAACTACTTGAAAATGCAGAGAAATCCCTGAATGACATGTTTGTGAAGACATATGGCCACTTATACATGCAAAATTCTGAGCTATTTAAAGATCTCTTCAAAGAGTTGAAGCGCTACTATGTGGTGGGAAATGTGAACCTGGAAGAAATGCTAAATGATTTCTGGGCTCGCCTTCTGGAGCGGATGTTCCGCCTGGTGAACTCCCAGTACCACTTCACAGATGAGTATCTTGAATGCGTGAGCAAATATACGGAGCAGCTAAAACCCTTTGGAGACGTCCCTCGAAAATTGAAGCTACAGGTTACTCGTGCATTTGTAGCAGCCCGTACTTTTGCTCAAGGCTTAGCAGTTGCAAGAGATGTAGTAAGCAAAGTCTCTGTGGTAAGCACTATTTGCATTCTGTGTTTTTGTTTTATTTTGTTCCATTTAAAAAAAAAAGTTTGGAAGAGGTCGAAAAACAAATCAGCAGAATTCTATCAGCTCAATAACAATCTTTTCTCTTCAAATCCTTCTTTTGTCTCTTCCTTCCTACACTTTGTCTTTATATATGTACATCATGTAATTATAAATAATACTATGATGAACATCTTCATATGTCATTGTCATTCTTTTCAGTGGATTTTTTAGTAGCTATCCTTAGAAGTAGGATATATATTTACTTTGGAACCTTAATTTAAAATGGGTTTAATACCTCAATACTCTTTTTTCAGCTCCTAGTCTACTCCCCCAGTAGAAAAAGGAACATACATAGGCTCCACATTAGATTGTTTTGAATGACTATGTTTGAGCCTACTAGTTACAGTCTAGAAAATCATTTAACATCCATTACTATATGTTTTCTTGTTTTAAGGTGTACCCAGAGCTCTTAAGACAGAGTTTTCTATGACAATTAACATGGGCCACCTGTTCTTAACTTATGACCTTGTTTATAGAATTACCAATAGAGGAAATGAAATTGCAATATGTGGGCAAGAACAGATGAAATGAACCACATTTTCCTCATTCGTAAATTAAAGGAATTGGGCTAGACCAGTATTTTTTCAGACTGTTTTTCGGAGCTAGCTAAGGAGGTACTTCGGGGCCTCCTCGAGGAGAGGCAAGGGAGACGTGATTTCTAGTGGGTGAGACTATGTGAGCATCTGTGACTTTACCTCTTGGCTCCACCAGAAAAACTTTGCTTTCCTCAGTTTTATGCAGTAGGGTTTTCAGCAAAATTTCAAGGAGGAAAGGTCCTATGGTTTCTTCACCTCCCCCTCCTTGATGAAATGTGAAAACTTCTTAAAGGCCTTCCTACTTCTACTCTTCCATGACTCAGTACCACTGAAGAAATAGAATACATTGGGGCAGTTACCTTTGCAAGACTGATCTTAGTGCTATTATCTTTAGGCCCTCGAAAAGCCAAATTTTAGTCCATTTCTAAAAAGTCCAGATACACGAGGACAACAGCTTCTGCTTAGGTCATTTGGTTGTTTTGAGGACTGGAGAGCAATACAAACACCAAAAATATCAACCTGATTGCCTGTCAGAGAGTTCATTTCAAGTTAAGGTGACCATATAATTTATTGTCCAAACCAGGACACTTATTGTCTAAATCAGGAGGTGATTATTAGCAATCATACTCAGACAATATGTGCCACTAATTTTTGATAGCAAGCACGACTGTCTTAGGCAGACCAGGATGCATGGTCACCCCAGTTAGAGAGGAAACTTACATTTACTAGAGTGAAGATACAAAGTCTAAAGAATTGTGCATTATTAGAAAAATAGGTGCTTATAGGATATTTCATATTAGAATTGGTGAGAATAAGGATTTGTTGATTGGTTGCATTCATTATTTTAGTTTTGTTTTTTCTCTCAAGGCCTGAAACTGTCAGAAAACAATTCCTTCTAGCATGTTTTTGTTCACTCTTTTTACTCCTGATATTTTTATTGCAAATTGCAAAAAATTGTTGGGACATATGAGGGTAGGTGGGAGCAAATGGGGAGGTGATGGTTATCATTGAAGAAATAATCTGATTCCTAAACTTCTGCCAACTTCAGCAACCATGATTAATCTTGGAGATGCTCACATCGGAGTTCCTCAATAAGGCACATTTAATCCAGATCAAAGTTATTTACATTGTAGTTCATGTAACTCATTCCCTGCCGCCTTTCGATAATTCCTTGTATTCTTAAGCCGAATAGGTGGAAAGGTGCTGCTGTGTAATTTGCATGTCTGTGTGTGCATACATGTGTGTGCACACTCGAAAGGCAAGGAGAAATCCCCTTACAAGTGTTTGAAAAGTGGTTTATTTATGGTAACCACCTGCCTGCCTTTGAGTTGATTCCTAGGAAGGACCATGCAGCTGGCTCAAGCCTGTCTTGTTGTTAGCCTTACTTTGCAGGGTAGGAACCCCCTTAGGCAACTGAGACCCCAGGAACCCTAATTTGGGTGGAGGGTGGTGGATGAAGAAGGAGGCGGTTTTGAGATAGTTCATTGCAGGTTAAAAAATTGAGGAGTAGAAGGCTTGCTATTGTCCACATCAGCCCACCTCCAAAGGTTAAGGGGAAGTAAGTCATTATGGCTTCCCTGTATTGCATTCTTCTTCACCTGATTCTTAAAATAAGTGGGAAACTAGTAAGATTGACTTTTATATTTATGATTCAAACACCCTTCCCTATGCAATACAGAGTATGTGACCCAAAATGAAATAGTCAAAATCAATTTCTGACATTCCTTTGGTATAATTTTTTTTTTAAAAAAAAAGACATTTCTTGTATACATTAATGTTAAGTTGTTTGAGAAAGTTACTTTCTAAATGTAACCCTAATTGTTTTTTAGAATTGATCTTTATTCCATATTCATTGTATTTTCATATCTGTCTAAGAGAAATGCCTAGTTATATGAGAATACAGTGAATACAAGCTTACAGAGCTTAATTTACCTTGGGTAAACATTACTAGCCAGTCATTTAATTGAGAACACTGTTTTGTGACTACTTTAAGTATTGCAATTAGAAACTTTAAAATGTTTTGCCTCACTACTGAGTTTCTTCTAGTTTAGGGACTGACTTGAAATCAAACCTTTCAACTAAGATGGGAAAGTCATCAAAATTATATCATAATACATTCAGGCATCAAATCAGTTTTTAAAGGTGCTAAAACACAAATTATGTAAAAACCTATCTTTGTAATGTTTCTGTTTAGAAGCATGTAAGGAATACTTGCGCATTAGAGAAATATCCCTTACATTAATTTTTGGAGTATGACTACCAGTTAAACAGCTTTTAATAAATGACCTGGCTGTCAGAAATATTTCAAATTATTGAACATGTTGAAAAATATACATTTGATTAATAAAATAAGTAAGCTTTTCTCTTAGTTTGGATACCCAAACAATGTTTTTTGTTATGGATTCCCACTCCTCTGAATGGCTGTTCCAAGTGTAGTTTGCAACTAGAGAAACCTAAGAAATAAACAGTGCTGTTTTTGGTTTCCAACAGGTTTAATTACCTTGGCCTGAAAAAGGCCTTTCAGAGTGGAGAATGTATTTCCTAATTAAAAAGAGCCACCTCACCTATTTCATCTACAAAGAGGTCTTTAATTTCTAATATGAAAAGCATCACAGTCTTGGGGCTAGTTATTGGATTCTTAACTTTAGAGATGTTCTCACTTTTTCTTCATGAGTGGATGCCTTGGTTTTCCAGTTTACTTTTGCAACAGAAGGATTGTGGTTTTACATTGAGCAGTGATTTGATTATCACTAAGCTTTTTAAAAGCCATTAGTACCAGCAAACTTAACTTGGTTAAAGAGAAAGTCACTCCTTACTTTAAATATACTTGCCTTGCTAAAGTTTCTCTGCCTAAACTATCCAATGATTTCAGCTTACTTCATTGAGCTTTACAATTCAAACTACAGAAAAGTCCCTTTAATTAATAACAGATGGTTCAAGAATACCCCTGTGCTGCACATCTTTGTATTACTTATTTCATCTTTACTTGTCATGGTTTATGATACATTTCTTATTTACCTTCTTGTAGCAGCAGTTTTGCCTAGAAGGGTGAAGTCTGTTGTGGTCTTTTAAAAATGCACAAGTGGTTACATGCACCATGAAAATTAATAGCTCTTATGCCAAAAAGAGTTGCATTCTCATGGTTTCAATTAATGCTGACATAATGGGACTATGTCTATACCCCAACCCCAAACTACAGGGACTATAATTAGAAATTGGTGTCTTACCATTGTGATGTCTAAATGACTGTCCTGCCTTGAAAACAGTTTTCATTGCTCCTCCTTCATTTGTCTATTCACAATGCTCCAACACCTACAAGAGTACTATACAAATTATTTTGTCACTTTCCTGAATCATTATAAACATAAATTTTATAAATGGTCAATATAGAAAGCTTCTCAGAAGCAAAGTGTAGACATTTATTTAACCCTTAATGTTCTTTTCACTTACAACCTAAGAACTGGAATTGAAAGAGGAAGGTGGAACTCTAGATATAGTGGGGGTAGAGATGGTGATGGTAGGAATGTGAAAAGTGTCAAGGATGGAATAAATCGAGATTATATACTCTCAAAACAAAAATAGAGTCTTCTACAAGGTAGTAATACAATGATGCTTCGACTTCTAGGTCGTAATTGAGTCTAATAATTTAAAACAAAATAAGACATACTTTCAAGTATTTATATAGCTTCAGTTTTATCTACAGTCTATCTACAAACATTCCTGAATGAATCCTAGCTTATTCCATATGTTTTGTTATGTCTTTAATGCTCTGTTATTGGGGAAATAGTTAGGAACCTCAACCTCCTTTCCTTGTGTGTACATTGACTTCAAAACTAGTTAGGGAGTTGTTGAATAAACTCATCACATCTTATCATATGTTTGGGTTCCCTATCTCTTTTACCATAAATTTGGGAAATATTTCCTGTTATTTTATTGGATGCTTATGTTATCAAGGAACAGATAAAATCTAGACTTTTTCTGTTTGTTTGGTACCGTTGGCTGTGCAAGAAAAAATGTTGCAGCCAACGTATGTTAGGAACTGAAATAAACTAAGAGAAAATGTGTTTTTAACTTCAGTACAGCATATTGACTGCCATCACTGTGTAATGTGGCTTAAGGCTCATTCTGAATTACTGAAATGAAATCCAGGCTGCATGAAGAGCACTGCTCCAGTGTTGTTGTTGTTCAGGCTGCTTGCAGTAGTTTTTAATGTGGCACTTGGAAAATACAGGTTATTTCATAGAAAATTTCAATCTATATTAAAGAGTCTTTGCAGACAAAGGGACTTTTCTGCAAAGACCTTATGGCAGAAATGGCATGCAGATATTAAGTTAAATGTATATCCTGAGGAAGGCAGGAATGACTATTTTTAAAAGAGTCTTAATAACT